TGCCTCGAGTCACCTGTGCGTAAGAGGGTGTAGCAATGTCTGCACTATCCTCCTGGCCTCGGGGAAAGAGACACCTCGGGTATATTTAACCCGTAATATCTCCCTCTCCCGGCTCCAGGTAGGCTACCTTAGCCTGTAATAATGTGGTAACCTGTGTAAACCAGACATTTATCTACCTCGGCCTGTAATAATGTGGTAACCTGTGTAAACCAGACATTTATCTACCTCGGTCTGTAATAATGTGGTAATCTGTGTAAACCAAACATGTATCTACATTGGCCTGTTATAATGGGGTAACCTGTGTAAACCAGACATGTATCTACCTCGGCCTGTAATTATATTGTAACCTGTGTAAACCAGACATTTATCTACCTATGCCAGTTTTATGTGGACTAGCCTGTGACCAGGAGCTACATGGGGTGAGCTGCTTTCAAATTTTTGAAACAAATGACCTTTATCTACTTCAAGGTTTATAGGTTTCATATTTACTCAGGTCACATGGAGAGAATATTTTTAATATAATATTTATGCTTATCATCAAAATGAAACTTATTTTACTGTGTATGGATATCCGTACCAATCCTGGTCCTCCAGGTAATATGGGAAATTACTCACTCCTTGATGACATATCAATTGCACATTTAAATTTAATGCTCACTTAGAAATAAAACTGATATCCTTGAGACTGAGCTTGCTGATCATGACATCATCTGCCTTACGGAAACTCATCTCAATGACTCTATCCCTGACAATGCTATTTCTTTATCTGATCACTCTCATATTTTCCGTAAAGACAGACTTGATAGAATAGGTGGAGGAGTTCTTATTTATACCAATGACAAAATTATATCTAAAAGGAGACAAGACTTAGAGAAAGCAGATTTAGAAATCATTTGGATTAAAATTACCCTTAGTCATAAAAAAAATACTAACTTGATGATGTCATAGACATATACTTATTGGAGACATCAATCAGGATATGTTAAACGTACAACCAAATTCTCACATCATGCAGATTATGACTAAGTTTGGCATTACTAATATTATTCACGAACCTACAAGAACTACTCCTACATGAACCTCTTCTACATCTCTCGACATTATTATGACTAACAATATACTGATATAGTAAAAGATCCCTCTGTCCAAACTCCAATTTGCAGTAATTACAGTCCAATTAGTTGCAATATATCTTTCAAAACTCATAAGAAATCTGCATATAAAAAGACTATTATGTACTTTAGTGATACTGACTTTGTTAATGCCAACATCTATTAGCTAATATTGATTGGGATACCTGTCTGAATGAAAATGTTGATATAGAGACTATGAATAATTTTATTTCCAGTGAAATTCATAATTGTATTGAAAAATATGTACCACATAAAGTTGTCACTATTCGTCCAAATGATAAAGTCTGGATGAACAATGATATTAGATTACACATTAGGAAACAAAATCGTCAACATACCAGGGCCAAACATACTAATACTACTGCAGCCTGGCAAAAGTTTAGAGATATGGGAAACACAGTTATTGACCTTGTAAGAGAAGCTAAGCAAAAATATCTACTTAAACTTCAAGGGTCCCTAATTGACAAATCTATTCCTCCAGGTAAGTGGTGGCGGGTTGCAAAGTCTATTATGAACATTAACAATAAATCAAACAATGATGCTCCTCTTGTAATAAATGGTGAACGTAAATCACATCCTGTGGATAAAGCAGAATCTTTTAACTCATATTTCACCTCTGTCTCTACTTCTGACAAAACTGATGTTGACATTCCGCCTAATTGTCCTATCTCACAAGAAAAATTATCTTCCATTATTATCACTGAACAGGATGTGTATGATGAGCTCCAACTTATTAATGTAAAAAACCCTGCTGGTCCAGATGCACTTCCCCCTTATTTTATTAAAGGTATTGCTGACTCTTTTGTGAAGCCCTTGCTGTTAATTTTTAACAAATCCATATCCACTGGTTGCATACCTAATATTTGGAAGTGTGCTAATGTTACCCCAATATATAAGGGCAAGGGAGGAAGAGGTGACCCCAGTAACTATATAGACCAATCTCTGTCACATCATTATTTAGTAAACTTCTTGAAAAAATAGTTTTTAAACATCTCTTTAATTTTCTATCTGAGAATAATGTCATCTCAAATAATCAGTCTGGCTTCCTTCCCAATGACTCCACAGTTAACCAATTAATATGTTTATATGATGAAGCTTCAAAACAACTTAATCAAGGAAAAGAGGCAAGGATAGTATTGTGTGACATCAGCAAAGCTTTTGACAGGGTTTGGCACAGTGGATTGATTTACAAATTGAAGAAATATGGAATTTGTGGCAACGTTTTTGAACTGGATTCATTGCTATCTTACTGATAGACAACAAAGGGTATTAATAGATGGCTACAAGTCAAATTTGCAAACATTAAAAGCTGGTGTTCCCCAAGGCTCGGTTCTCGTTTATTTTTAATATTTATTAATGACCTAGAAGATAAACTCCACTCCCATGTCAAACTCTTTGCTGATGACACTTCTCTTTACGTTTTGATAGATGGTGATGGCAGACATGCTGCAGATATTCTTAATGAGGATTTAAGGAGATTATCTCTCTGGGCTGATAAATGGGGAATATCATTTAATCCAAGTAAAACTGAATCATTACTAATGTCTAATAAAAAAAAATCTGAGACATCTCATCCAGATTTGGTATTCTCAAATAATGTTGTTATAAATGTCAAAAGTCATAAACTTCTTGGTTTGCTTTTTAATAGTCGTGGATCATGGTCTGATAAAGTTAATTATATATACTACAAATAATGCGAATGCTCAAATACAAGCTAGATAGAAAATCTCGTGGAATAATTTATAAATCTTTTATAAGACCAACACTTAAATAAGCTTGTGCTGTGTGGAATAATTGCACCCAGGGTGAAAGTGACTTATTGAAATCAGTCCAATTAGAATGTCTCAGAATTATATCAGAAGAGGTACAAGTCATAACTTAATATATAAGGAAGTTGGTGTAGATAAACTAAAAATAAGACGTGATAATTACCAATGTATGTTATTTTTCAAGATACTGCAGCATGACTGTCCTGACCATCTTTATGATTGTATTTTACCATATTTTAATAATGATATTAATCCTCGCCTTAGACATCATAGAAACTTTATTGTTCCCTTGTGCAGAACAAACTTGTATAAAAATAGCTTTTTTCCTAGAATGATGTCTCTATGGAATAGGCCAGACTGTATTTTTCCAAAACTCATTTCATTGAGCCAGTTAAAACTAGAATTACTTAAGGAAAGCACACACGTTTTGCAACCATCTAACTGTACAGATATTTTTAAATACAGTGGCTCCAGGAAGTTGAATATAACATTATGTCAACTACGGAATAAAGTCAGCCAATTAAAATCAGATTTATATAATGATCATCTTACAGATAACCCTAAGTGTGACTGTGGTTATATTATTGAAGATGAAAATCACTTCTTCCTCAATTGCCCCAAATATATAGATGAAAGACAGGTTTTATTCAATGCGTTATCTAATTATAACGAAATTGACAACATCATCTTAAATACTGTTACTTTCACTAAGGGTGATATGAACCTTAGCAGTGAATCAAATACATTTATTCTCTCATGTGTTCTGGAGTTTATTGAAAAATCTGGAAGATTTTAACTAAAACTATATTAAAAAATTATCTTACGATGTGTTAGTATTTGCTATTTTATAACAATAACTCTGGTGTAATTGGGAAGGATGGCACTGTGTATAGTGACAGTGTCTTTAAAGTGCCTCCAACCAAACACTAGGCTATTAATAATTGAAGTAAATAGACTATATAGTAATTGAAATGTTAAAATCTATGATATTCTAGTTATTATTTTCTGTGAACTTGTATTAAATGGTTCTAGTATTCTCCTATTAATTTGAACAAATACTACATCTTCTCTATAATACTCTCTCTCTCTATATATATGTATATATGAATGTATGGAATGGGTGTATTTTCTCTGGAAAGGGCTTTTATAGGCAATGCCTGTGCCTAATCCAATTGTGTTTTTTGAATACAATAAAATTTATTTGAAATGAAATATAATTCCATATGTTATGGAGATCAGCAATGCACATATCCTTTTAGGTTAAAAGTCAACTTTGAAAGCTGGCTGGAGTACTAGTCAAACACACGTTTTTATTCGCAAATATGCAATTTACTCATTCACCCCTACATATTTAAACTGGACTTGCCAAGTGTATGATTTGGTAAGGTTCCAATGTGACTTAAAGGGTGAATGGGTTAACAGGTCACAGAAATAGTAAGGTGGTTAAGCTCATATCTATCTGCAAACAGTATACTTAACTAACATGTACCAATTGTCTGTCAAAGTGATCGCTGTAATTCCACTAGCTGGCCTCTTATTTGTGATAAAAATAATCAACAGAATTATTGCATGTACTTTTTATTTCATTGATAGTTTTATGTACAGTCTTTTGTTTTGATAATATACATAACATTAAATTTACAAAAATGCATGTATTTTTAAATAAGTAATAAAAAAATATCACAATGATGCTTGATGGATAACGGCCACCTACAAATAAAACTGCAGAAAATACAGGATGAAGGGTGTCACCTATTATTAATGCTTCACGGTCTCCAATCAAAGAATGATAGCAGCACAGATATTGATACCAGAGACTTGCATTTCTCAAAAAAAAATAAAAAAATCATGATATTAAAAAAAAACAATATTTGCCATAAAAAGTACATTTTATAAAACAACTGTTTTCCTCGTTTATTTCTTCTGACCTCAAGAGTACACAAGAAGACACAATTTTTTCTCAAATTTATGCAGAAAAATGTAACAAGTACATTTCAATTTCTAAAAAGTTTATAAAAATGATGATTTTTTAAAATACTAATTTTGAGACTAAAAATTCAAGTCAAGATTTTTATTTATCATTTTTATTTATATGTGGGTTTTTTTTATTTACTTTTTTTTGAGAAATAGCCGTGTCTGGTACATAACTAAAGAATAGGCACTTATCTATACTAAGGCAGCTAGCTACAGCGCTAAAGATATTTAAATAAAAAAACTTATGCTGTACACATATACTAGGAACTTGCTTATTGAGACTTGTCTTAATGACAAGCTCATGAGATGTAGGATCCAGTTTGCATGTCTGCTTAATTCAAAATTGAAGAGCAAATTTTCATGAATACTAAGGACAGATCTTCATGAAAAAAATGTTTTGTTTTTTAATGCTACAAATTTAAATGATTATTCACACAAATTATTTGTTCATGAACTTTTTTACATAGGAAATGTATACCTATAATTATACACAAATTTGTTCTTGTGAAATTTCATGAAAAGTTTTACATAAGAAAAGTACTTTTCATAAAACACAAATTTGTGTAAATAACATAGAAATATACAGAGGGTGGATCATATGTGTGTACACAGGTATATATACACACATGAAATCGATACATACACCAGAGATGTCACATTCTTAACAATATAAACATATACAGAGAAAAACATGTACTGGTAATAATACAACAGAATTTACAGCAAACATGTATACATCTATACTCATACCTGACGAATCAGTTCAGCAGTACTATAGAGCAGCAGTTTTATCCATGGGCTTACATTGCTTTAATCTTTATCATAAGTTATATTGTATGTAAATAAAACTGACAAACATACACCCCCACATATAATTCTAACTAAACGCCATCTTGATGTAAAGTTGATTTTTGGCTGTCAAACTTATTTTGTAATAGACACAAAACTGAAATTTTATTTTAAGTATGCTTAAAGTTGGAAATTTCTTTCCCCTAATGCTTAAAAAATGTATGGCAGGAACAAATCCCAATATCCCTTAATAAGTGGCTGCATCATCTTAGTTTTCAACCAGGCCATCCCAAACTCAGCTGTCAGCTTTAAAACACAGCACATATATCCCAGAGAAGGAATGGTTTGCTATGCCATTTGCCTTTTAAAAAATATAGGAAATTCTCAGGGTTGATTTCCTTTGGATGATAAATTCTAAATGTGTTGCTGCAACTTGCATATCTTGGCTACCCCAGCTGGTGGGTGTGGCCTAGCTGATGGGCGTGGCTGGACTACCTGAGCCCCTCAACTATCCATGGTGCCTGTTTCTGTAGGCGTGTCTTCAGTCATGGTACCATCTCTCTGCTGTGCATTGTCCTCTTCTGGTTTCGCCTCCTCCTGGGTCGACTCCGCCTCCACTGGGGCGGGAGGGACGGGTGTGGGGGCCTTGGTCGGCTCTTCCTCTTCTGTAAACACAGAATTAGAAGCATCAATTAGTTTGCTATTAATATCTGTTCCATAAAAAGAATTTGGGAAGAAAACTAAAAAGTGACTAGCATTTATTTTAATGTTCCTGGAAACAAAACATCAACTGTCATTTACACATGTAAATTTAAAATATATATAAATAAATAAAACATCTGGTCTGTAATATACACCTACTCAAATGAAACTAATGTACAGAATGGAAAAACAATCCCTTTGATTCATATTTTTTTGCCAAAAAAACAGAAAGTACTATTATCAATGACCAACCTGAAAGCTGTCATTCAGATTTTCATATGATTTATAAGTATACATATTTACAAGGTAAGAAGTATACCAAATTTTTATTTTTCATGACAATCACAATTAATAAATTAATTTCAGAAATCATTCTGGAGAAAGAGAAAAGTTTACTCACTTGGTTCAGGGAATGGTTTCTCGAATTCGTCTGTTCTTGCACTCTTCCATTCAATCATGCGCTCAAGGGCAGGTCTGTGTTCCAGCACCACGTGGCCGTGGAAACCTCCCATCATTCTGTGCGCCATGGCAATGCCAAATTGGACACGGTTGGTATTTATTGCCTCCTTATCGGAGAGTGTACGCGAGATATTGTAGGCTTTGCTGAAGTAATCTGTAGCCTCGTCATAGCGACCCTGAATCAAACATTTTACACTGTATAGTTAAAGGAATACAGTAACAACAGGGTATCAGAATACACAGGTTTGATTTGGTAGATTTTGTAAGAAGTGTGTCAGATAAGATAGGGTGTTGGATTACTCAAGAGTTTTTTTGAAAGTGACAATCATATTTATCAAAACATTTCGATGACATTGAACACCTCTAAAGTCTAGAAACTTGAAACTAAATGCTCAGGAAACTGACATGGAATCCTGACAAAAACTAATATTCATGGGATAAAACTTTAACAAACATGCAACTTTTACAATAAATAATCACTGTTTTTGTGAACGAATGCGAATAGTAATAGTAAATATTTTGTTGGATCACTAAAGAATTATTCGGAAAGTGACTGCCACATTTATCAAGATTTCTCCGTGACATTGAACACCTTCCAAATCTTGAATCAGAAATTGTATATGGTATATGCTGACAAAACTTACTATAATTCAGAGGATAAAACTTTTACAATAAAGAAACACTGTATTTGTGAATGAATGTTATTGTAAATATTTTTCAAATCCTAAGTGACCACCAGAAATTATAAATTCTAAATCATTTTGAATTATCAAGCATGTAATCTTTTGCATTGAATTGTGACTCACCAGAGAATTTAGGATATTTCCCAGGTTGTGACAGGCCCGACTATAAGCTAATTCTTCGCCACTTTGTTCTGTGACCTCGACAAACTTCCTTAGGTATTCAATACTTTCCTCCAGCTTACCTTGACTAAAACAAGAAGGGGGATTAAAAGATTTGCAGAAGACATTTATGTTAATTGGCAGATCAAACATTTATTATTCAGACTTAAAAACCATTGTCAGTATCATTCAAAAACCTAACCTAAATGTGTATTTAAGTTAATTGTACACAACTGAAATTCAATAATGTTCATTTAAACAAAAACAAAGATACACGAAGGTGCTTTTCATAGTCCAAAAAAATTCTGACCGACTTTTGATATTTTTTTTTAAAGAGAGCAGAAAATTACTCTGTTGAAAAAATATGCCCTTTTGATAGATGTTTCCAGTAGGGAAATTACAAAAAGTCAAAACATAACAGATATTTTAAGTTCTCTTTATGATTCTATAGTATGAACACAATACATCTCCAGCACACCTGCAGGCATACACACATAGGGAGATATTAGCCAGGTGGCAAAAGACTAGTAGTTAGTGCCTGATAAGGCAGCTCCTGCAAATTCCTCAATTTTTTTCTTGATTAATGTCATTGTTAATTGTATTAATTGTATATCTATGTACTGTAAAGCGCTTTAGAGTGGCATATTCTAGCCTAAGCTAAGGGCGCTATATCAAATGTTGTATATTAATTAATTATTGATGATGTGTACATTTCTTTATTTGGTTGAATTCTTTTCATTAAATTATGTTTAGGAGAAAGGTTATGCAGTTGAAATATTTTTTTGCATGAAAATGTTGGCTTCTTGAACTATAAAGAAATTTGAAACTCCTGAAAATTAGACAATTGAGCATGTTAGTCAGAAACAAGTTATACATACCTGGCATAAGCCTTAGAGATAGCATCACATGCCTTTCCTATACCTTCACTGTTACCAAACTCATTGCATATGTCCAGGAAATTATTGAGATGCTGCAATCAAACAATGATCCTATTTAATTGAATACAATTCTATTAGCAGTACCTCATGTCTACATTAGCAATGCTGCTGCGGAAGATATTTTGAAATACACCTGAAAATTTCCATGGCACCAAAATTTCAATTTTTAATGTAAAGCAGATTTAAACAGTTAACAAAAACTTTTGATTTAAAATGACCCACATGTGTGATTTAAATAAAAATAAAAAACCAAATAGGACTTACCACAAGTGCAGATTTACCGTCACCGCATTTCTCGTGTGTCTGCCCCAGTGTATACGATGCTTGACCTTCAAGTGTCTTATCATGACCTACAGCAATAAAGAAGTGAAGATTTACATTGTTATGATTGAGCTTAAAGTAAACAGTCTTACCAAGACTATTAATACAAACTAAATACAGTACATTTGTACCTCTTTATCTTAGTAATACCTATAATGGTACCTCTGAAATCTAAACTTCAAATAATAAATTGTTAAATCATTTCTTTAATTCTAAATTCTATGGAACAATTTTTGAAGACTAGTTAGATTCCATGATTTAGATTCTACAATTATCAAGTCTAGATTTTAACGAAAAAATCTGGGTCTAAACAAGTAAAATAGCACAGGTAGAAGGCATTCCAGACTTTTTTATTTGACCTTAACTCATTCACCCCTAAAGTCACCTTTAAACCTTAACAAATCAATGACTAGGCAAGTCCAGTTTAGATATGTAGGGGTGAATGAGTTATTAAGTAATTTTCATATGCTTGAGGTTGCAATATGATAAGTAGATGATAGTGAGACAATAAATATAACTCACTTTCCTTGGCCATGTTGAGGGCCTTGGTAAGGAAGTCGAGTGCCTTTTCCAGCTCCTCTTGTCGTTCCAGGACCTGGCCAATGGCAGTGTAGATTCTCCACAGATTGAAGCAGGCATCTGTATGGAACGTGACATCATCAGCCGTGATCCACTCCTTGTGATCCACAGCTAGTTTATAGTATGCCTCAAAATGATCCACAGCTTCATAATTGTCACCTGCAATATCATTAGTTGGATCAAAGGTATGTATTTACACAATACAACTCCAGCACACATAACAGGCATACACACATATGGAGATATTAGCCAGGTGGCATAGGACTAGCATAAAAATTCATGTAAATTCTATGTTAAGTTTATTTGCAAAGAAGATTATGACAGAGAAAATCTTTGGAAGCTGACAGTAATAGGCCATTAAGGCATTTTTTAGTTACTACATGTATAATAAATTAGAGGGGCCCTTATACGTAAAATTAAAAGAAATTGGAAATTAGGAGCAGCCAATTTCAATTTTGAGGGGCCTGACTGAAAATGCCTGAGTTACATACACATTACATTAGGTCCCAACTTCTCACGTTAAAACTTTGCTTATGTTTTTGCAAAAGGATTTTATTTAATTAAACTTTTTTCATAATTTTTGGAAATATTTTGTAAATTTCGTTCTGTTTGTATATTTTTTCAAAAAGATACATAATCTGTTTGAAAAATATTTTAATAAGTCATGAAAACTAACATTTCAAAAAGTTTTTGTTAAGATTTAATAAAATTTACTAAAACTAAAATTTCATTTTTTTAAAGGTGGTAATACAATCTGGTTGGGGTTGGGTGGGATGGGTGGTGGGGAGGTGTCACAATTTTGTTTACCTCTCTGCCCCTCCCTTCACCTTAATATTTCTGGAAAAAACACTCATTACAAATGTTTCCTTTAAAAGAATCTTTTGAGAAAAAAACCCACACAAAAAACAAATTTGACAATTATTTTCATCATTTCCCCTAATTTAGGTCAGGGTTGCTTTACCCCAAAGACCAGGTAATTTTGTTTTCAATGTATTTACCATTCTCTTCCAAGGACACACCAACATTGTAATGGCCTTGGGCTTGCATCTTGCCGTGGTCACCCTGGACCTCCGTACTCGTTTGTAAACAGGTCGTGAAGAAGTGGTCAGCTAGCCATTTATCGTCTTTGGTTGATTGGAAATACCTAGCTAATTCGTACCTGTTTCTGTACACCTCAGAAAAGTCACCTGTAATATTAATTATTTTAATTAGACACTACATGTACTACAAATATCTAATTTGTATATTCAGTTTTGTTATGACCTTGGTATCAAATTTGAAAATATCTATATTAACTTGATGGTATACCACGCATAAAGTAAAATGAATTGCATATGATAGGCCAAATTTCTTTAGCATTCTACAACAAATTTTTGTATGTACTAACTTTTATATATTAACTGATAATGTTTTTATTGTGATAGTTCATTTATATTTTTTATACTTGTGCCACGATGCACTATTTTTAGCATATTTGTTTTCTTATATTGCCTTCAAAGAAATTACATAAGGGGTCTAACCCATCCTCAGGAAGTAAAAATAGTGGTCTCATAACACAGGTGGTCTCTGAATAGTAAGTTAACACACATTCGCTTAACAATAAAATCAATATATTGGGAAACATAAAGGAGCTTGAGTGGTCTTTTAACACAGGTTGTCTCTAAATAGAGGTGGTTGCTTGTGCAGGTTTGACTGGATGTATCTGTACACTGAGCACTAGGAAAATAAATTATGTAAATCAATATTTATGTAAAGCCATATTTAAGTTTGAAGATCTTAAAAAGATGACAGACACAAATTCAAACTATATCTACCTTTTCTGTAGGCTTCCTCTGCTCTGGTTAAATGCACTTTTAACATGTCTAATTTTGCATGTTGATCTTTTAACATGATCAGTGTCCACATAAGTGATTCTGGGCCTCTCTCTAGCCGTTCTTCCTCTTGTTGTTTTATTAAAGCAAAAAGTTCACTAAATGACTTATGGTAGCCTTCCTGCAGCATGTCTAAACACAGATTATGCTTGTATGTATTCCTGAAGCTGAAATCAGAAACAAATTACAAATTAAACATCAAATCAACAATGAGGTAAGTTTATGAACTGTCCTAGCTACCAACTGAATTGGATTTATTGGGAGTCTCATTTATTGCCTTCCATGAAGGCAATAAATTGCCTTATTGGCTTTTTTTTATGAAGCATGAACACTATTGATCTTCATTACAAAAAAACTATTTATTACAGTTTGTATACATGTATTATTAATTAAAAGTATGAAAAACAAATTTAAGTAATTAATAAAAGGAACAAGTAATAGAAAATATGTTTTCTTCAGTGATATGAGTGGAATTCCAATGTTTCAATGTAACATTTAGGGGATAATGTGAAATTTACATACATGAGCAAATTGCTTAATTCAACTGCGACAGGTAAACAATGTAGGTAGGGGAAGCAGGGGTGTTATATTTGAGAAAGGGAAACTTCACTATAGGAAAGTCGATGTGAGTGAGGGGGAATTTCTTTGGGTGGTAAAAATATAGATTGTAGGCTTAATCACCAACTAGACAAACATACCTGGCTGTCTGTCTTTTAGAAAGATCCGGCTGTTGTTGCCGGAGTATATCATGTTTAACAAAGGGATCTCTGTCTGGAGTACTAGGAATTTTACGTAGAGGTTTGAGTTTCTTTCCACTTGGTGGACCTTTCGGAGGGGAGGGCATGAAATGTTGTACATTTTGCCCTTTCCTGCTCCCTGCAGACCCATTAATTGGCGGCAGAGTGGCCGCCATTGTGGCCATTCACTGAAATAAAAGTAGAACAATGTTTAAGAATTAAAAAGATCACTAGGCACCCATTTTTAAAAATGTGAATAACACGTTTTTTAACAAATAATGTATATAAGACTTATATGTAAACTAAATAACCTCGCGCTTCAAGCACCGGAAAACGTCCTAGTTATTGTAAACATGAAGAGGTCTCAAAACAAGCTGCAAGCTTTTCAAAGATGTCGGACCTACGAGAAAGCAATGGAAAGATGATTTATCACAATACTTGGCTACTTGAAGTAATTCCCCAATACAATACCTTATAATGGATTGTTGAAACAATATTGCTTTACACCACATTTTGCATTTTGAATCCTTGAAAATACAGAAATCCAAGGCTTTAAACATTTTTCAGTTCAGAATATTTTATCTTTTGATCAATGTTTTATCCCGAGGGTTTGAATTATCTTATCATTACCTCACATCAGGGATGGATTCTATTAATAATAATATGACATGTATCATCTCATTGGTCTAAATGACACTTGTAAAACACCCCTGAAAGCTATGTCATCCAGTGGCGGATCCAGAGTTTTTTTGGGCTTCAGGAACCTAACCCTCATCCTTAGAATTTTCTTTAAAAATCATGTATTTTCACCATTTTCCTCAATTTTCCCCCACTTNTGCAACCCAGCAAATGAAACTGTGGTGTATATATTTCAATAACGCCACACTTTACACTGTATGGTATGGCCTAGGCTATTACAGTCACGACAGTCTTCCGGAATCAACTCCATCGAATCATGCTCACCAAAACATGATTGATAACAACATAAAATTTCAATCAATGTTACCTAGAAGTACAAATGTGTGAAACATGTAGCTTTGATCTTTTTTATCAGAAAGTTTTGTTTATATGACTGACATTTTCTTATTTTGTTAATTTGCGGCCCGAATAAGCCTTATTTACCTCCAAAACAACAGTCGCTGATATACCAGGCAAGTCAACGGCTGCCATAAGTTTTTCGTTGCTACGACAACGTCAGACACGCAGTAAATATACGTGAGATACAAACATATTTGTATCACGTAAAAACAAATTTGTACGTGCATATGGTTACAAATAAAAATATAGTAAGGAACTGACTTTAAATTTTGAATCTTTGTATATTAAATTTAGTTGAAATTTTATATCATTCCTCTCCGCGGCTACGGGCACTTGACTATAAACTTCCGGTTAAATAACTGCTGCGATTGACTTCATTTGTTAGGTTCCATTGGGGCTTAGAAAGGTATAAACGTTTCTCATGCGCTAATTCATGGTTATGAATATATTTAAGGATGTATGTTTTATATGTGTTAGACAGATAACACTTTCTGTCTGATGTCACAACATTATAATGTTATATCGGCCCTTTCACTTAATTCAGCCTTTTATCGAACAGCAGACGATCGCGACCGGCAACTTCCTTTTGCGTCACAACACAGTGTAAAACAGTATATATGAAATCTGCGTACTTTCCCTACATTTTGTTTGTACTCTTTTTCAATACCTTTTTTGCATTGAATTTTCCCGATGACCAATTATTATGTTATATATAAATAGAAATTATTGTGATATCTAGATCTATCATCAGTATACATATGGATGACTTTTTTAACCATATGAATAAGATAAAGATATAAAAAAAGACTTTTTGATCTGACAATACAGTTCCATGGAGTGACTTAAATTTCTGAGTCCCTATGAACCTATATATATAGATAGGAATTAGCGAATTAGAACAAAACTATACAAGTGTGGCAGGTTTTAATTGTACATAGGATTAATTAAGGTTGCCTTCTAGCTTCGAGCTAGAGGGAATATCACTAATTAGGTCCAAAATTACAGAAATGTACCAAGAAAAAATGATGACAAAATTATTAACTATACCTTTATAAAGATTGAAGATGGAAATTCACAAAAAATATTTGAAGACAGTTTTGGATGATGTGTGTAGAATTAACCAGAATAGCCCAACCATGTGAAACAACAGTCATGTAATTTCAAAACACATAACAATGAGTTGTGGTGTACTATAAACTGGCATTAAAAACTCACCTTTTCTAGGTGATTTTTTTTCTATTTTATTCCAATTATAATAAAACAATAGTTAAAGCTATGCAATAAAACATTCTTCTGTAGATATCTGAAGTAAAATGGTATGAAATTACCAATCTTTATCTTAAATTTCCATTGATAATTTAGACTAGACTTAAAAAGTTTGATATTCTCATGACCTTTGAACTTTCAGTGATAACTCATAATGACAACCACAACTTACTGGGGTGAGCTGCCCAATCTGCCTGATACAGATTCGGGGATTGCAGCCATTGAGAGGGAACAGATGACAAAACCTCGTCCCATGGATGTGGAAGGACCAAGACTACATCAGCCATCCAGTAGACATCATCCTCCCACTAATGAGTGAGTATCTAAAGTACATATACCAGATCACTCGATAATTCAGGGGTTATGCTCACTTGCATTCTTTGCATCCCTGGAATATGCCATAGGAAAATTGGAGGGACACGGCTAGCAATTATATTGGTCTTGGGTAAAAAAGTGAGTAATCATTAGGCTGATACCTGTCCTTTGTAGATTACCTGGGAACATTATACATCACTTTCTTTTTCCCAAAATTTAATCAAAACCTTTTAAATGTCTGGAAAATGACATAATGGACAAAAATATGTATCCGTTTCCTTTCTCACTTTAAAAGGGACCGAGTAATATGAATTCTCCTGACAGGTGAACTTTTACCAATTCTGCTCTCAAACTACCAACAAAGGGAGGTAATCTGAAAATTGAAAAATTGAATAGGTTTATAGTTTTCATGAATAAAATTACTTTTTGGGTGAAATATGATGCTTTGAGATCATGTGCATGTGTATATGTGTTATGTTGTTTGATGATGTCATAGTAACTATGACATCATCAAGGCTCACTGATATCAAAATGATCACTAGGAAACTCATCACAACAACAAACTAGCAACAGACACACTTCCTCTAACCGATGAACAGCACCAAAATGTCAGATATTCTGAAACATCAGACAAGACATGACCTACATATGTAACTTTTTAAACGTTTTAAGCAATAATGAATGAAAGTGATGCTGAATCAAGCATAAAAAGGCTTTTTTTTCAGAAAAAATCAATGTCTGTGTGTATAAGTTAGGTAGCAGAGTATAGTAGAAATGGCTTGACCCTAAAAATAAAGGGCATGTCTCGGATAAACCTGGATAGCGGATTCGTCCTGCACAACACACCTACATATATATATACATTTATAAACTACATTTGAATACGTTTTTTTTTAGAAGAATAAATATTTTTTCAAAAAGTGATTTCCCCAGATTTCGAACTTGTGAAAACCATGGTTACCACATAAAAAAATGCAAAAAAAACATGATTTTTAACCCAAAATTTGACCCACGCAAGTAGTAATTTTTTTCTTAAAACTGTCTTAAATTAAATATCGCCTACTCGGTCACAGATACTCACGTTTTAGTTTTATCTCCAAAAATTGATATTGTGAAATTTTTGTCAATTTCTTTTTTTAATCTTACTGACCCCTATAATGGGCCACCTCCTGTCTGTTAAACATTAAATGGCTTCTGTTGGTGAGAATCAGTATGCTTATGATGTGCGACTTGAAATGTTAGCAACATTTTATTTGACTTTTTGGACTTTGACCTTTTAGACGTGAACTTTCAAAATGCTAAATTTAGCCTCCTTGTAGTAACTGACATTTTCCATTTTCTGGTTTCATTTGAACTAGATTAAAAAAAATAAGAGTAGGTAGATGAACTTTGGAAACTAATCAAAAACATAAATATATCTTTAATAAAATGGCCTGTGACCAGATATCACAACTGTTAAAATTCAATGTCACCTGTTGCAGTCCTCTACCAAGTGACAAATTTGAGATGGACCCCATCGTCCTACACACCATTCGACTTGTCCAACATGCCAAGAAACTCCGCCAGCTTATCTCCAGTGTCCAGCAGCAGCAAGAGGCTGTAGTAAGTATTTTCCAAGCTGTCAATGTGCCGAAGTCTATCTGTTGTATTATTATTTTTTTATTCTTTTGTTCTTATTAATTATGCAAACACTTTTTAGACAGATTTCATTTTTTTATATCATAATTATAAATACATCTTCACTATTTCAAAAATATGAAAATTGAAATTAAAAAAATATATCTTAGAATCACAATTATGTAAAGTAAAGTAAATTACACAAAAGACATATTTGGTTCAGGGCTTTTAGTCGTCCCTGGACAATAAGAAATTTCAGAAGTCAGTTAATGTTTTCCCTGAAACCTGAAACCTGAGGGATACATGTCAAATAGACATCTTTTGCAAACAAATGAGTAATAGTTCAAATTAGCATACTCTCAAGGGTCTAATGAAAGCCTTGTTCGGTTAGCAGTATTTCTCTGAGATTGTCTTGGAGATTGAACATTTCTGTAAATATTAATTTGTAGAAGAACGGAGAAAGTGAGATCACCTACCCTGCTACCCCACCTATCCCAGAGTTCACAGGGTCTCTGCCTAAACACACGGTTCAGGGACCAGTACCATTCATGCCGAAGGAAACAGAGAGGTTTGTAAAAGAGGCTACTGTCTGCTTTCTCTATCCAAAAATCTGTTTTCATCACATGAGAAAACAGATTTTGGGATAGAGGAAGGATGAGAAAACACACTATGGGATATAAATTTCCAAAGTTCCATCAGAATAATTTTCAAACCTTTGATAAGGCTTGTGTAAAACAAATATAGTAAAAAAGAATTACTTTACTGTGATTAAGAAACGTAAACCCTTTTCTTTATTTTCTTGTTACATGTATCGTGTCCTCATTGTTGACCTTGGCTCTTGACCTTCAGATTTGTAGAAGACAATTTCTATCTCTTGATTTGTCTGTGAACTATTTGCTTCTTTGAAAGAGATTTGGAATATCCCTTTGAATCTTTGCATTTGATAATAGACATTGTTAACATTAAATCTTTGAAACACTGACATTTGAAATGAGTGTATAACCTGTTTTCTTTAACGTGTCGATAAACACCAGAGACATTCATGTTGCAGTGACTTTGTGAAGGGCATCGGTGACCCACCCCCAGAGGTTGATGACCATGCCTGTAGGAAACTTCTCCGGAGATCGGTAGCAGCCATATGTGCACATACTGGTTATGACAGTAGGTATATCTTTAACTCATTCACCCCTGAAATTTCATAATGAACTATTCTAACCTTTGAATTGGAAGGGTTCAAATGTGTCTTCAGGGGGGAATGAGTTAACACATTCACCCCTGAAGACACATTTGAACTCTTCCAATTCAAAGGTTGGAATAGTTCATTATAAAATTTCAGGGGTAAATGAGTTAAAAATAAGGGATGAATCAAATACTTTTAATTTAACAGCTACATCATTCTAGAAATTTGCAAGTTTGAGGTTATTGACATGAATAATTTATCATAATATAATGTAGAAATAAATATTAAAAGGAATTGGTACATCAATACTATTATTTGGCGAGGAGATCCTACGTCCTGTGGGTAGTGATCGGTCTATGTACCGGTGGAGGAACCAGAGGTGGATACCGAAGTATTCTAGTGGAGCTCCACCAAAGGGAGGTAACTGCATGTCATTAAATGATGGAACATCAACACCAAGGATTCCGTATATGTATGTTTTATTACTTCACATGTTTCGGATGGCTAGGCCAACTGTCATCAGAACCCGTCTAGCCATCGAAACATGTAAACTTATAAAACATTTTCGGAATCCTTGGTGTTGGTGCTCCATCATTTATCTACCAGGTACTAGTATTTATCATAATATAGAACATTAATCTGACATACATATGTTTACATTAATTTGTTTTATTTCATATTAAGGCACAAATGAATCAATCCTGGAGACACTGACTGACATTACGCACGAGTACTACCAGCAGATCACCAGTCACCTTCGGACTGCAGTGGACAACCGACTGCTAAATGGTCATAATGGCTTCCCGGTATGTTTCACAGACAAAGGCCCATGTTTAAAATATTCTTTGTTTGCCCTTGGTCAGCACAGTTATATTATAAAGTTAGGTAACTTTTTATAAGTACTGTTAAACTATTAGTAAATCTACATAAATCAAACTTAATTAACTCATTCACCCCTGAAGAAACATTTGAATCCTTCCAATATAAAGGTTGGAATAGTTCATTAAGAAATTTCAGGGGTGAATGAGTTAATATGATGTTTAAATTAAAGCCAAAATTTTCATCAGGAAAAAAAGTTAATCTTCCAACATCCTGTCTTATTCGACCCCTGAATATTCCAGCATCCTGTATAATCTACCCTTGAGAATTCCGACATCATATCTAAATCAACATGATTTTAATGAAATCTACCAAATGAGACTTGTGTATTCCCTCTTCCTGTCTAATTGACCATTTTGTTGTATGCACAGTGTGGGATTAGACAGGTTTCAATGTTCAAGAAAATGAGTTAATATTACATAAGTTTGTAGAATTAAGTGGTTAAAGTGGTTATTTAAATAGATAAATTCATAGATGCAAACAAAAAGAACAGAAGCAAATTATACTGATACAGTTCTAGTAGATGCCTTTAAGGGAGATAACACTAATACCAACCAATGAAGGACTTTAGGGCTGCTTTCATTTATCACGATCCAAATGGTATGATCGGTTGGACCAGGGTTGTTCCTTAATAGAATAAGGTCGGACCTAGTAATCTTATGCTGCTTTCAGGCGAGTCTTGACAAAGCCTTGCAAAGCCTGCATAAACTTTTGCAGGTCCGCCAGGATTTATACCCGAAAATGTTACATTTAAAAACAGACAAACCGGTTGTTCCACATAAACAAACAGGCCTTAGGTAGCATATTTAAAGAGGAAAGGTGAAATAACATAATTTTAACACCTGCAAAGAAAACTTGATTCTGCTTTTTTTTAACAAGGCTACAAAAACAGGAATCACAATTCAATATCTGAATTGCAATTCAAAGGTTTTTTCATTTAATGGTGTGGAAGTTGGAACTGTTTTGGAAAGGAAATGTGTTTTACTTTAAGGTAGTGATAAATGAACTATTATGAAAATCAGTGTTATTTATTGTTGCTTGGACTGTTTTGTTGCAGGATGTTGTAGAAGAGGTGTTCCACCATGTAGGGATCGGTAGTGTGACCACGCTTCACAGCTTCTACCAGAATCACATCATCAACTACCAGAGGAACATGGAACAGACCTGCCAGCAACTCTTCTCGGAGTATGAGAAGCTCAAGCTACCCATCATGATAAAGATGGAGACAGTGCCGGTCATCAGGTACCTTGTAATGTCACACTATACTGGACATCATACATGTGATTTCTCCCTATTTTGTAGGGAGTCTCTGTATATTTTCCGTGAAAAATTGGAACTCCCTCTAAAAAAACACAATCTTACTACAATTGTTTCTGATATTATAAATTCTTATTTTTTGATGAGCCTATAGACGCTATAAATAAGCATAGGATCAATGTTAATTACATGAACAGTCTTAAGTTAGGAATATTGTTCAATATCGAACAAATTTGTTATTTTGGTTAAAGAATGCTTGCATTGAAAATCTCCCTACCTAAAAACTCCAGCTCTCTACCAGTAGATGAGAAATTGGATCTGACGCTATTTATATATGATACATATACATGTATAGTCCATTATATTCCTTTATTCAACTTTTTTTTACAATTTCAAAATTATGATCAAATGTTAGATTACCAAATGAACAAATCATGCTTCAAATATATTATGTGACACATGATAAAATTATAAAAAGATGATAGAATTATAAAGGTGTATCAAGCAAAATTAGAGCCAGTTTATCATATTTAAGTACCATATGGTTTGAACATGTTTGAGAGAACATTGAGGTATATTATAAAACATTGCCGAGATTTCATGATGATGGAGTTACATTTTCATCATTTAAACTACCATTAAAAGAATGGTTCATAAAGATAACATGTCCTTTGAATGTTTCAGAGAAAACACATAAAAGATATCAGAATTTTGTGTATGTTCATTATTTGTTTGCTCTGAAGTCATTGTTTTGTTTCTAAATTTGACATTTGCCAAAATCCTGCATTGAAAAGCAAAGTGGCATCATAGTTTAAAGTTTTTTCCAATTTTTTCTTTGAAGAATTAAAGAAGAACCGTGTTCGGAGATTCAATTTCCTGTCCTGGATGAGAATGACGAGATCAATGATGCAGAACAGTTACTACAGCTGGAAGGTTAGAAGCTGACTCTATTGTTATATCCACTCTCTGGTAGACCCGCTGTTTACTACAGCTGGAAGGTTTGAAGCTGACTCCATTGTTATATCCACTCTCTGGTAGACTCGCTGTTTACTACAGCTGGAAGGTTAGAAGCTGACTCTATTGTTTATTCCACTCTCTGGT